CTATCAAGCCGACTGGAGGAAAGAAAATAAAGTTGAAGATCGACCATCCAAGGTAAGAAGGCACCTGACATCCTCGGGGTTTCCATTTTATCTGTGTCATCTCCGTATTATTAGGACCTTCTTGAACAAGACTGGATTGGGTGGTTTGGTTTATCTGAGGTGGTGAGTCCAATATTGAGTTTGATAGATCCAGAGATGAGTAGGATGGAGGTGGGTCCACATCCCATGAGAAGATCTGAAAGAGGGAGGGTGGATAAGATACAGCTCCATGTTGAGCTACTAGACTGTAAGAAGGAGGAGGGTCGTCGTATTGTCCATTGCAGTGCCCATGAAGGTTTCCTGACATGATGCCTTGATCTCCGTACGTGTGCAGTACGTCCATGTCTTTTGGTTTCCCTTTATAAACACAGAAGGCAGTTGAAGATAAGTATTTACAATGTTTACCATGAACTTGACTCCCTTTAGGGACATCTCAGTACTTTGTACTTTCTCTTCTACTAGAATGACTGGTTTCAAATACTTGGAGAACTAAACGCCAACATTACCAAACAACAGTTATTACCCTCACTAAAAGAATAAAGCATTTAAAGGGACTTTCCATGTCCAGGTCTCCTGGAGTGATCAGCAGGACTTTTTTTCAGTGGGAATGCGGGGCACCTCCACCATTGAATCTACGTGTTGGCAAGGGGTGCTGGAGGGTCTATTGATTCTAGCTACCAGAGGATCTCTTGTCACTAGGGGGAGTAGTATTGCTGGGGGATCTACTGTTGTGGGTGGTATTATGTTGCCTGGGGGAATCTACTGCTAAGGTGGAGGTCTATTGTTGCTGGCTACTGAAGGGTCTGTTGATGCTGGATGCTGGAAGAGCTATTGTTGCCGTTTGGGCCTATTAATGCTCGTGGAGATTTAATGTTGCCATGGTGGTATTTTGTTCCTGGAAGGGTCTATTGTTCTTGGGGGATCTATTGTTGTTGGGGGTCTATTGTTGCTGGAGAGGATCTCTAGTTTCTAGTGGGGGATCCATGTTCAGGTCTTCTGGAGTAATAAGAACTTTTTTTTCAGTGAGAATGGGGGGCACCTCCAGTGTTGGCAAGGGGTGTTGGTATGTGCTGGAAGGTCTATTGATTCTGGCGACTGGGGGATCTCTTGTCACTAGGGGGAGTAGTATTGCTGGGGGATCTACTGTTGTGGGTGGTATTATGTTGCCTGGGGGAATCTACTGCTAAGGTGGAGGTCTATTGTTGCTGGCTACTGAAGGGTCTGTTGATGCTGGATGCTGGAAGAGCTATTGTTGCCGTTTGGGCCTATTAATGCTCGTGTGGAGATTTAATGTTGCCATGGGGGTATTTTGTTCCTGGAAGGGTCTATTGTTCTTGGGGGATCTATTGTTGCTGGCGGTCTATTGTTGCTGGAGAGGATCTCTAGTTTCTAGTGGGGGATCCATGTTCAGGTCTTCTGGAGTGATAAGCAGAACTTTTTATTCAGTGAGAATGGGGGGCACCTCCAGTGTTGGCAAGGGGTGTTGGTATGTGCTGGAAGGTCTATTGATTCTGGCGACTGGGGGACCTCTTGTCACTAGGGGGAGTAGTATTGCTGGGGGATCTACTGTTGTGGGTGGTGTTATGTTGCCTGGGGGAATCTACTGCTAAGGTGGAGGTCTATTGTTGCTGGCTACTGAAGGGTCTGTTGATGCTGGCTGCTGGAAGAGCTATTGTTGTTGGCTGGGATCCATTGTTTCTGGGTGGGCCTATTGTTGCTGCTGGAGATTTAATTTTGCCATGTGGGTATTTTGTTCCTGGAAGGGTCTATTGTTGTTGGGGGTCTATTGTTGCTGGAGTGGATCTCTTGTTTCTAGTGAGGGATCCATATTCAGGTCTTCTGGAGTGATAAGCAGGACTTTTTATCAGTGGGAATGCGGGGCACCTCTAGCATTGAATCTATGTGTTGGCAAGGGGCGTTGGTATGTGATAGAAGGTCTATTGATTCTGGCTACTGGGGAATCTCTTGTCGCTGGGGGAGCAGTATTGCTGGAGGGATCTACTGTTGTGGGGCGTATTATGTTGCTTGGGGGAATCTACTGATAAGGTAAGGGGTGCTCTATTATTGCTGGCTACTGAAGGGTCTGTTGATGCTGGCTGCTGGAAGAGCTATTGTTGCTGGCTGGGATCCATTGTTGCTGGCTGGGATCCATTGTTGCTGGGTGGGCCTATTGTTGCTGGTGGAGATTTAATGTTGCCATGGGGGTATTTTGTTCTGGAAGGGTCTATTGTTGTTGGGGGTCTATTGTTGCTGGAGAGTGTCACGATCACGGCGTCAGACCCCAGACCTTCTCACGAAACTCGTGACTGAAGGACTGGCCGATCCAGACCGTGATGTGACGTGCGTAACAATGCCATACCCAGCTGCACCCTACACAGCGATTTTCCAGCTAATGGATTTCAATCTGTGCCTGCAGCCTGGATGCGCTTGTTACTGGGTCGGGTTAATTATGCAACTGACCCTTACACACTGTCACCACCCCTTTTTTGTACAGAAAAGGGGAAACTCTCTTTATCAAATATACACTGTAATGGTTGAAAAGTCGTCTGTCCAATACGGTCGCCGCAGGCGGATTGGGCAGAGGATTAAACAAACACAGTAGCGTCTCTTTAGAGGCAGGAATTCGTAAATTGCAATTAAGCACTTTAGAAACAGCTTAACACTTTCAGAAAGAAAGATTTATTACTAAAAGAGTCAAACAGGTGCAATAAAATATTTACAGAAAAAGATGTAACTAAGATATATACAGTTGCAAGAAAAAGTATGTGAACCCCTTGGGATTACGTGGAGTTTTGCATGAATTGGGCATAAAATGTGCTCTGAACGTTATCTAAGTCACAACAATAGAAGAACACAGTCTGCTGAACATAATACTACACAAACATTAGATGTTGCCATGGTTTAATTGCACATAACATGTAAACATTCACAGTGCAGGGAGGAAAAAGTATGTGAACCTTTGGACTTAATAACTGGTTGACACTCCTTTGGCAGCAATAACCTCAACCAAACGTTTCCTGTAGTTGCAGATCAGACCTGCACAACGATCTGGAGTCATTTTGGACCACTCCTCTTCACAAAACTGTTTCAGTGTAGCAATATTCTTGGGATATCTGGTGTGAATCGCTCTCTTAAGGTCATGCCACAGCATTTCAATCGGGTTGAGGTCAGGACTCTGACTGGGCCACTCCAGAAGGCGTATTCTGTGCTGTTGCAGCCATTGTTTTGTTGAATTACTTGTATGCTTTGGGTCATTGTCCTGTTGCATCACCCATCCTCTGCGGAGCTTCAGTTGGCGGACTGATGGTCGTACGTTTTCCTGCAAAATGTCTTGATAAACTCTGGAATTCATTTTCCCATCAATGACAACAATCCGTCCAGGCCCTGAGGCAGCAAAGCAGCCCCAAACCATGATGCTCCCTCCGCCATGTTTTACAGTGGGGATGAGGTTTTGATGTTGGTGTGCTGGGCCTTTTTTTCTCCACACATAGTGTTGTGTGTTCTTCCCAAACAACTCAATCTTGGTTTCATCTGTCCACAGTATATTTTGCCAGTAGTGCTGTGGAACATCCAGGTGCTCTTTTGCAAACTTCAAACGTGCTGCAATCTTCTTTTTGGACAGCAATGGCTTCCTCCGTGGTGTCCTCCCATGTACTCCATTCTTGTTTAATGTTTTCCTTATTGTAGATGTGTCAACAAAAATGTTAGCATGTGCCAGAGATTTCTGTAGGTCTTTAGCTGACACTCTGGGATTCTTCTTTACCTCATGCAGCATTCTGCGCTGTGCTCTTGCAGTCATTTTTACAGGACGACCACGCCTAGGGAGAGTAGCAACAGTGCTAAACTTTCTCCATTTGTAGACAGTCTGTCTTACCGTGGACACATGAACATCAAGGCTTTTGGAGATACTTTTGTATCCCTTTCCAGCTTCATGCAAGTCAACAATTCTTGATCGTAGGTCTTCTGAGAGCTCTTTTCTGCGAGGCATGGTTCACATCAGACAGTGCTTCTTGAAACCAGTAAACCCAAAACAGGTGTGTGTTTTTTAAGGGCAGGACAGCTGTCAGCAACACATCCAAATATCATCACACTGATTGGAGTCAAGGTTGGCTCACTCCTGGCTCCAATTAGCTCTGGGAGAGGTCATTAAGCTAGGGCCTCACATACTTTTTCCTCCCTGCACTGTGAATGTTTACATGTTATGTGCAATTAAACCATGGCAACATCTAATGTTTGTGTAGTATTATGTTCAGCAGACTGTGTTCTTCTATTGTTGTGACTTAGATGACGTTCAGAGCACATTTTATGTCCAATTCATGCAAAACTCCACGTAATCCCAAGGGGTTCACATACTTTTTCTTGCAACTGTATATATATATATATACACACACAGAACCATAGCACAGCAAAGAGATAACAGGGAGAAGTTAAAGGGTTACATTACTTGCCATTTAAGCCTTTGATGTAAGCAGATCCAAGTTGTAGAGCGAAAGGGTCTCCCCAGGTGGTATATTGATGTTAAGAATGGGAAAAGACTTTTTAACTTAACTTTTTAGGCCTGCTAGCCAGTTTTTTAAAGTCCCCCAGCAGGGGGGTGGCTCTGAGGAACTGACCAATACTCTGTTTAGGGAGGGATCGTCGGACGGAACTCTGAATTAGAAAAACATCTTTCATAATTCATATTTTGGCCTATAACTTTCCAGCTGCACAAGCGACAATCTCTCCGCGGGTAGTTTATTATTCAAATAAGTCTAAGGATCATGTAGATATGAATTATGAGATTATACGTTACACGGTGTACGAGTTCTATGTTTTGGCTCCCCGGAGCGTTTGAAACGAGTGGAGAGACTTATCAGAACGTCCGTCTGCGCGTTGGCCATCTGACGAGGTGCCCAGTTTTTATGTAAGTCTTCCATATTTCAAGATATGAAACATAGGGGAAAAACTGACTTGAGGAATGTTCATTTAATTCTGTCACCTACGCTGCTAACTTTTATGAGGTTAAAATCTCAGTTCCTGGGAAAAGCTGCCATATCTCTGTTACAAGGTGAGAGATTACACAGGTTCTTGGGCAGAGCGGCTCTGTCTCTCTTGGGAACATTGGCCTTATCCTGGCCTAGGTGAGGAAGGCTACACTTTCGCAGACTGCTCGGCACCGAACTAGGGATGCCTTGCCCTGCTGTTGACCCATAACCAGCACACACACATCTGTCACTGTGCCTCTCAGGAAGGGAGGGGGAAGGAGAATAAAGGATGAATGAATACTTTTAATAAAAGGGGGGAATCTGCGTCCATCTCTGATGCGCAAGTTTCCTACAGAGAGGATCTCTTATTTCTAGTGGGGGATCCATGTTCAGGTCTTCTGGAGTGAAAAGTAAGACTTTTTTTTTTTCAGTTGAATGTGGGGGCACCTCCAGCATTGAATCTATGCATTGGCAAGGGTTTTAGTGTGTGCTGGAAGGTCTATTGATTCTGGTTAAAAAAATTTAAAAAATTGAAAACAATTATAATTTTTTTTTTGTACTGTCATCGGTCAGTCAGTGTCCCTAATTTGTGAAAATAATTATTAATTTCTTCATTTTCCGAAAAATTATGACAAAAAAATTACAACTTCAAAGAACTTGCCATGCCTCTTATGAAATATCGTCAGACTGTCTACTTTGCAAAAAGGGTCATTTGGGGGATATGTGTACTGTTCTGACATTTGGGGGATATCTGTATTGTCCTGACATTTGGGGGATATCTGTACTGTTCTGACATTTGGGGGATATCTGTACTGTTCTGACATTTGGGGGATATCTGTACCATTGTCCTGACATTTGGGGGATATCTGTACTGTCCTGACATTTGGGGGATATCTGTACTGTTCTGACATTTGGGGGATATCTGTACTGTTCTGACATTTGGGGGATATCTGTACTGTCCTGACATTTGGGGGATATCTGTATTTGGGGGATATCTGTCCTGTCCTGACATTTGGGGGATATCTGTACTGTCCTGACATTTGGGGGATATCTGTCCTGTTCTGACATTTGGGGGATATCTGTACTGTCCTGACATTTGGGGGATATCTGTACTGTCCTGACATTTGGGGGGATATCTGTACTGTCCTGACATTTGGGGAATATCTGTACTGTCCTGACATTTGGGGGATATCTGTACTGTTCTGACATTTGGGGGATATCTGTACCGTCCTGACATTTGGGAGATATCTGTACTGTCCTTTTTGGGGGATATCTGTACTTTTCTGACATTTGGGGGATATCTGTACGTCCTGACATTTGGGAGATATCTGTACATCCTGACATTTGGGGGATATCTGTACCGTTCTGACATTTGGGGATATCTGTACCGTTCCTGACATTTGGGGGATATCTGTACCGTCCTGACATTTGGGGATATCTGTACCGTCCTGACATTTGGGGGATATCTGTACTGTCCTGACATTTAGGAGATATCTGTACTGTCCTGACATTTGGGGATATATCTGTACGTCCTGACTGTTCTGACATTTGGGGGATATCTGTACTGGGGGATATCTGTACCGTCCTGACATTTGGGGGATATCTGTTCCTGACATTTAGGGGGATATCTGTACTGTCCTGACATTTGGGGGATATCTGTACTGTATCTGACATTTGGGGAATATCTGTACTGTTCTGACATTTGGGGGATATCTGTACTGTCCTGACATTTGGGGATATCTGTACCGTTCTGACATTTGGGGGATATCTGTACCGTTCTGACATTTGGGGGATAATCCTGACATTTGGGGATATCTGTACCGTCCTGACATTTGGGGGATATCTGTACTGTCCTGACATTTGGGGGGATATCTGTATTGTTCTGACATTTGGGGGATATCTGTACTGTTCTGACATTGGGGGATATCTGTACTGTCCTGACATTTGGGGGATATCTGTACTATCTGACATTAGGGGGATATCTGTACTGTCCTGACATTTGGGGGATATCTGTACTGTCCTGACATTTGGGGATATCTGTACTGTCCTGACATTTGGGGATATCTGTACTGTATCTGTACTGTCTGACATTTGGGGGATATCTGTACCGTCCTGACATTTGGGGGATATCTGTACCGTCCTGACATTTGGGGGATATCTGTACCGTCCTGACATTTGGGGATATCTGTACTTACCTGACATTTCGGGGATATCTGTAGTGTTCTGACATTTGGGGGATATCTGTACTGTTCTGACATTTGGGGGATATCTGTATTGTCCTAACATTTGGGGGATATCTGTACCCACTGACATTTGGGAGATATCTGTACCGTCCTGACATTTGGGGGATATCTGTACTGTCCTGACAGTTTTGGGGGATATCTGTACTGTCCTGACATTTGGGGGATAGCACTTTTCTATTATTCCAGGTATAAGTGTGGAAACGACCTCAAGGCCATACAAAATAGCCCAAACCTTAAGAGAGTTTACCACCAATAATCCACCATTGGGTACAAGTGATGGAGGGACTTCTCTTTAACAATCCCCCACCTTGATTGATTCCGGTCAGTCCAGCGCAGTCTTCAGCCCCCGTGTATGGGCAGCTTTAATTGATTGAGTTGTCAGCCCCCCTGAGTCCGGGTTTCACAATTAAAATGGGACAAACAGCTCCTGTCCCTGCGTTGTTTAAAAACGCCCTCTGGTATTTAAGTCGTTAATAATAAAAAGCAAAATATGTTTGCTGCTGACATTCGCTCCGGCAGTTTCACTTTCTACTGCAGAGCTGTTCTCAACCGTAAGGTTTCCGGATATCAGCAGCTGCTGGAATCTGAAACACAACATGTTTGCGACGAGCAGCTGCTGGTGGGGACGCAACGTGCAGAGGTGGAGGGGGAGCAGTGTGCAGCGTGCAGAGGTGGAGGGCGCAGTGTGCAGAGGTGGAGGGTCAGGGGTGGACTGACCATTCGAGCACTTGGGCACTGCCCGAGGGCCCGGGGTCAGTAGGGGGCCCCATGAAATGCCCCTGGTACCTTTTTATATGCTTTTTTGGGTGTGCTATAAGTGTGGGCAAGGACACAGGGGCCCCATGATCCCCTATTGCCCGGGGGGGCCCCATGAGTTGTCAGTCTGCCCTGTGGAGGGTGCAGCATGCAGAGGTGGAGGGAACTCACTTTGAAACTCTCCCGTCTGTTGTTTTCTCCATGTAAAGATGGTTCTTCTTCCACTTTCCTTCTCCTATCCCAGGCTGAGGCTCCTCCCTGTTTGCAGCATAACTGATAGAAGAGGAGGAGGAGTCTGTTAAGGAGGGGGAGGGGGAGGAGCTGAAGATTTGTTGCTGTGCCCCTGCTGGACGCTGATGTAAACCCAATATTTTATTAGGTACCATGTACTTGTATGAAGGAGTATATCCTGCTCTTTTTGTATTGCTTCCTATGCTTGAAATTCCTGGTGTTTCCTGCCAGTCCCCCCACCCCTTCAAAAACAGACCACACTAGACGTGAGAGCACAGCGTGGTCAGTTCTCTAGCTGTGCTGCGCCCAACGGTTGCCCTATGGACGCCCTCCCAGAACTAGCCGACTGCGTCTTTCGGCTATAGCGAGATCGACGAATGGTTAAGGAGTTTAAGCCCAAATGTTTGTTATTGATCCAGAGAAGTCTAACGCGTTTCGGAGATATACGTCTTCCTTCCTCTGGGTCATTAACCATTTGCCGCCCGCCCTATGACCGAATGGCGGCCGGCAAATGTCATCAGCGTTCCAGGTGGACACCATATGGTGTCCTTCCGCACATGCGCAGAGCGGCGCAGCGGCGCGATCTGTCACCGGCCGTGTACCTCGGACACGGCCGATGACAGATCTGAGTATCGGCCCCCGTTGCCGGTACCATGTGACCTGCTGTGACTAATCACAGCAGGTCACATGACAGTTGTATACAATGGATGGCTTCATTCATGCCATCCATTGTATACTAGTGTCTAGCTGTGAATGGTCACAGAGATCACATGCACATCCAAATCACAGCTAACCACAAAAAAAAAAAAAAAACCTGAATGAATCGATGTCATTCAGGCAAGTGCTTGCTTATAGCAAAGTAATTGTGTAAAAAAAAAACAAAAAAACAAAATACTGATCACTTCCCCAAAGTAGTACAATGTTACTATGGTAGTGAAATATGAAAAAAAAATCTTGAAAAAAAGAAAAAAATTTAATAAAAAATGAAAAAAATATATATACATTTTTTTTTCATACTGTCACCAGTCAGTGTCCCTGATCACCGCCATGCCAGTTATATGATGACGCTGTACTGTACTGGTGACAGTATGTAAAAAAAAAAAAAAAATTTTTTTAATTTTTTAATTTCCAAAAAATTATGACAAAATAAATACAACTTCAAAAAACTCGCCATTCCTCTTATGAAGTAAGTCGGACTGTCTACTCTGTAAAAAGGAGTCATTTGGGGGATATCTGTACTGTCCTGACATTTGGGGATATCTGTACCGTCCTGACATTTGGGGGGATATCTGTCCTGTTCTGACATTTGGGGGATATCTGTACCGTCCTGACATTTGGGGGATATCTGTCCTGTCCTGACATTTGGGGGATATCTGTCCCGTCCTGACATTTGGGGGATATCTGTACTGTCCTGACATTTGGGGGATATCTGTACTGTTCTGACATTTGGGGGATATCTGTACTGTTCTGACATTTGGGGATATCTGTACTGTCCTGACATTTGGGGGATATCTGTACTGTCCTGACATTTGGGGGATATCTGTCCTGTCCTGACATTTGGGGGATATCTGTACTGTGCTGACATTTGGGGGATATCTGTACTGTCCTGTCATTTGGGGGATATCTGTACCTGTCTGACATTTGGGGGATATCTGTACTGTCCTGACATTTGGGGGATATCTTTTGTACTGTTCTGACATTTGGGGGATATCTGTACGTTCTGACATTTGGGGGATATCTGTACTGTCCTGACATTTGGGGGATATCTGTACGTTCTGACATTTGGGGGATATCTGTACCGTCTGACATTTGGGGGATATCTGTACTGTCCTGACATTTGGGGGATATCTGTACCTGTCCTCTGACATTTGGGGGATATCTGTATGTCCTGACATTTGGGGGATATCTGTACTGTCCTGGATATCTGACATTTGGGGATATCTGTACTGTTCTGACATTTGGGGGATATCTGTACTGTCTGACATTTGGGGGATATCTGTACTGTTCTGACATTTGGGGGATATCTGTACTGTCCTGACATTTGGGGGATATCTGTCCTGTTCCTGACATTTGGGGGATATCTGTACTGTCCTGACATTTGGGGGATATCTGTGACATTTGGGGGATATCTGTCCTGTTCTGACATTTGGGGGATATCTGTACTGTTCTGACATTTGGGGGATAATCTGTCTGACCTGTCCTGACATTTAGGGGATATCTGTACTGTCCTGTCATTTGGGGGATATCTGTACTGTGCTGACATTTGGGGGATATCTGTCCTGTCCTGACATTTGGGGGATATCTGTACTGTGCTGACATTTGGGGGATATTGTACTGTCCTGTCATTTGGGGGATATCTGTACCGTTCTGACATTTGGGGGATATCTGTACTGTCCTGACATTTGGGGGATATCTGTACTGTTCTGACATTTGGGGATATCTGTACTGTTCTGACATTTGGGGGATATCTGTACTGTCTGACATTTGGGGGATATCTGTACCGTTCTGACATTTGGGGGATATCTGTACCGTCCTGACATTTGGGGGATATCTGTACTGTCCTCACATTTGGGGATATCTGTACTGTCCTGACATTTGGGGGATATCTGTACTGTCCTGACATTTGGGGGATATCTGTCCCATCCTGACATTTGGGGGATATCTGTACTGTTCTGACATTTGGGGGATATCTGTACTGTCCTGACATTTGGGGGATATCTGTACTGTTCTGACATTTGGGGGATATCTGTACTGTTCTGACATTGGGGGGGGATATCTGTCCTGTCCTGACATTTGGGGGGATATCTGTACCGTTCTGACATTTGAGGGATATCTGTACTGTCCTGACATTTGGGGGATATCTGTCCTGTCCTGACATTTGGGGGGATATCTGTCCTGTCCTGACATTTGGGGGATATCTGTATTGTCCTGACATTTGGGGGATATCTGTACCGTCCTGACATTTGGGGGATATCTGTACTGTTCTGACATTCTGGGACCTCAAGAAATTAGATTGGCCGTCAGTACTTCAGGATTGATCAATATTCAGATCTATACCATAGTTTGTGAACTCTATAACTTTCCTACAAACTAAATAATACATCCTAATTTGGATTATTTTCACCAAAGACATGTAGCAGAATACATCTCGGCCTAAATTTATGAAGAACAATTATTTATTTGCAAACTTTTATAACAGAAACAAAGAAAAACGTGTGTTTTTTTCAAAATTTTTGGTCTTTTTTTGTTAATTTAGCAAAAAATAAAAACCCCAGCGGTGATTAAATACCACCAAAAGAAAGCTCTAGTTGTGTGAAGAAAATGATAAAAATTTTAGTTTTGGGTACAATGTTGTATGACCGCGCAATTGTCATTCAAAGTGTGAGAGTGCTGAAACCTGAAAACTGGCCTGGGCATGAAGGGGGTAAAATTGCCTGGTATGGAAATGGTTAAACATGATATAAATACCTTCAAATATAATTATCTTCTAATTTTGGCCATATTCAATATTTTTCAATAAATATATATATATATATACAGTTGCAAGAAAAAGTATGTGAACCCCTTGGGATTACGTGGAGTTTTGCATGAATTGGGCATAAAATGTGCGCTGAACGTCATCTAAGTCACAACAATAGAAGAACACAGTCTGCTGAACATAATACTACACAAACATTAGATGTTGCCATGGTTTCATTGCACATAACATGTAAACATTCACAGTGCAGGGAGGAAAAAGTATGTGAGGCCCCAGCTTAATGACTTCTCCCAGAGCTAATTGGAGCCAGAAGTGAGCCAACCTTGACTCCAATCAGTGTGATGATATTGGATGTGTTGCTGACAGCTGTCCTGCCCTTAAAAAACACACACCTGTTTTGGGTTTACTGGTTTCAAGAAGCACTGTCTGATGTGAACCATGCCTCGCAGAAAAGAGCTCTCAGAAGACCTACGATCAAGAATTGTTGACTTGCATGAAGCTGGAAAGGGTTACAAAAGTATCTCCTTGAGCCTTGATGTTCATGTGTCCACGGTAAGACAGACTGTCTACAAATGGAGAAAGTTTAGCACTGTTGCTACTCTCCCTAGGCATGGTCGTCCTGTAAAAATGACTGCAAGAGCACAGCGCAGAATGCTGCATGAGGTAAAGAAGAATCCCAGAGTGTCAGCTAAAGACCTACAGAAATCTCTGGCACATGCTAACATTTTTGTTGACACATCTACAATAAGGAAAACATTAAACAAGAATGGAGTACATGGGAGGACACCACGGAGGAAGCCATTGCTGTCCAAAAAGAATATTGCAGCACGTTTGAAGTTTGCAAAAGAGCACCTGGATGTTCCACAGCACTACTGGCAAAATATACTGTGGACAGATGAAACCAAGATTGAGTTGTTTGGGAAGAACACACAACACTATGTGTGGAGAAAAAAAGGCCCAGCACACCAACATCAAAACCTCCTCCCCACTGTGAAACATGGCGGAGGGAGCATCATGGTTTGGGCTGCTTTGCTGCCTCAGGGCTGGACGGATTGTTGTCATTGATGGGAAAATGAATTCCAGAGTTTATCAAGACATTTTGCAGGAAAATGTACAACCATCTGTCCGCCAACTGAAGCTCCGCAGAGGATGGGTGATGCAACAGGACAATGACCCAAAGCATACAAGTAATTCAACAAAACAATGGCTGCAACAGCACAGAATACGCCTTCTGGAGTGGCCCAGTCACAGTCCTGACCTCAACCGCATTGAAATGCTGTGGCATGACCTTAAGAGAGCGATTCACACCAGACATCCCAAGAATATTGCTACACTGAAACAGTTTTGTGAAGAGGAGTGGTCCAAAATGACTCCAGATCGTTGTGCAGGTCTGATCTGCAACTACAGGAAACGTTTGGTTGAGGTTATTGCTGCCAAAGGAGGGTCAACCAGTTATTAAGTCCAAAGGTTCACATACTTTTTCCTCCCTGCACTGTGAATGTTTACATGTTATGTGCAATTAAACCATGGCAACATCTAATGTTTGTGTAGTATTATGTTCAGCAGACTGTGTTCTTCTATTGTTGTGACTTAGATGACGTTCAGAGCACATTTTATGCCCAATTCATGCAAAACTCCACGTAATCCCAAGGGGTTCACATACTTTTTCTTGCAACTGTATATACTGCATGTTAAAATGCTTTTTACTACAAAATATATGAAAAATACTTTTAAAAATACATTTCAAATATAATGTATGTCTTTAAAAATACAAATCTACATTTTTGGAATCCGTTTACAAATACAATATAAGTAAAAATAAATGTTAAAATTACTTTTTTATATACAAAAAAAAAATCTGAAGAATATATGTATAAAAAAATAAATTTTTAGAAATATATTTTTAAAAAATATATCCTTCAGAGTAAACAGCATGACTGTCGGAAACCGCTGCAATATTAAAAGCAACAAATTAACTAAAAAAGAAACAAAAAAAAGAGAGAAAAATATTTTCATATGTTTTGTAATAAAAACGCATTTATTTATTTATTGAAATATATTGAATACGGCCAAAATTGTAGCATTTCATATATATGTCAATATATTTGGGAAGAATATTTTTAAAATATATTTTTCTTCCATGTGGGCATGATCCCCTCTAACTGGTTCCCAAGTTCTAGCGGGGACCCCCACATGAAGGGTCAACTGCTCTCTCTGAAAGGGGAGAGAATGTTGTGTCCTCAGTACTGGGCATCAAGTTGGGGAATATTAATATACAGATTGTGGGCGGGGTTATTAAAAATCCTGACCCTGAGAGTGAGTAATGGATGGCAGCAAACAGACCCGGCAACAGACAGACATGACTGGAGTGGTCTGACTAGTACTGGATTTACTTTTCAGTGTTAAGTAAGGTGTAGCACTTTCAGGTATTTTGTACCTCCCACAGGACTCCACCCTGGCAATGCCTTCATCTGCTTTTCTCTCCAGAAGGACGGCGCCATCTTTGTTCAGGCATCATCCAGAGCCGTTATCCTCTTGCTGGACCGAGAAGCTGGCTCAGAGATAACACAATTTTGTAAATCCTGGTGACTGTGCAGTTCTTGGCTGTGTTCACAAATGTCTGACACAGATCAGCCCCCTGCTGCAGCCTCTCACGTTTCTACAAAGTTGCATTGGTGATCAGTAGGAAGAATGCCCCTTACATTGGGGGTCAGTGGGAAGAATGTCCCTTACATTGGTGATCAGTGGGAAGAATGTCCCTTGCATTAGTGGTCAGTGGGAAGAATGTCCCTTACATTGGTGGTCAGTGGCAAGAATCTTCCTTAAATTGGTGGTCAGTGGGAAGAATGTCCCTTACATTGGTGGTCAGTGGGAAGAATGCTCCTTATATTGGTTGTCAGTTGGAAGAATGTCCCTTACATTGGTGGTCAGTGGGAAGAATTTCCCTTACATTAGTGATCAGTGGGAAGAATGTCCCTTACATAGGGGGTCAGTGGGAAGAATGTCCCTTACATAGGGGGTCAGTGGGAAGAATGCTCCTTACATTGGTGGTGAGTGGGAAGAATGTCCCTTACATTGGTGGTCAGTGAGAAGAATGTTCCTTACATTGGTGATCAGTGGGAAGAATGTCCCTTAGATTGGTGGTCAGTGGGAAGAATGTCCCTTACATTGGTGATCAGTGGGAAGAATGTTCCTTACATTGGTGGTCAGTGGGAAGAATGCTCCTTACATTGGTGATCAGTGGGAAGAATGCCCCTTACATTGGAGGTCAGTGGGAAGAATGCCCCTTACATTGGTGGTCAGTGAGAAGAATGTCCCTTACATTGGTGGTCAGTGGGAAGAATGCTCCTTACATTGGTGATCAGTGGGAAGAATGCTCCTTACATTGGGGGTCAGTGGGAAGAATTTCCCTTACATTGGGGGTCAGTTTGAAGAATGCTCCTTACATTGGTGGTCAGTGGGAAGAATGCTCCTTACATTGGTGGTCAGTGGGAAGAATGCTCCTTACATTGGGGGCCAGTGGCAAGAATGTTCCTTACATTCCCCGCCCCAGAGGATCTGTGGTTCCTCCCACTGTTCTTTAGATACCAACAAGCACAGTAGCGAGGAAGGAGGCAGTGGATCGAACCACTGAGCACAATGAGGGATCAGTCATCTGAATGGAGGGGTCTGATTCTCTGTGATCTTTGGCCACAGCTTTCCGCCCTCCTTTTGCAAAGGAGCAGCCCTAGAGGTGAATGTTTTGTTTCTTCTTTGCAGGTATCAGCTTGTATTGACCATCTATTTTAGCGAGAGTCACTTAAATTTCTACATCATCTCCAACCTGCCCTAGCTAAAGTGTAATTCAAATTTTGCTTCCTTTGAAGCCACCTGCCGATTGTTCTGCCTCCAGCAGGGAAATTCAGTGCGTTTCTTCACCTGCAATATTAAATTTGACCACTGGATGGAGCCCAGAATACATTGACTGTTTTACAGAAACTACAAACTGTTCAGCTTTAATAAAAGCTCCTGTCATCCTTAGGAAAGGAAACAGGTGCATCCTGGGAGCTCAGACTCCATTTTGAGAACCGAAGGAGGAGGAACCAGTCATCATACCTCCAGCACTAAACCTTCATCCCCTACAGGCAGCATCGCTGGTGAACTAGAATGTATTACCATGTATGTATGTTGCATACATTGATTGTATGTATTTCTCATTTGTTTTTTTCAATAGTTTCACCCACCCTGTTTTTGTTTTTTTTTAAATAAAACTTCAAGATTACATTCCGTCTGGATGATTGCAGAATAGAAGGGTTTAGCTGCATGTCAAGAGAAATGTGTAGCGAGGACAGAACAGTGATATTTACCTTTATAGAGATAGCAATGGCAGCAAATCCTAGTATCGGGCACAAAAAAAAGCTCATGATTGACCATAGTAGACAACTTTCTGGGTTAGCGCTTGTCTGCAAGGAAATTCTCCTATCAGAAGATATTTCCAAACTGGTTGGACCGATGGAGCTAGACCTGGTCGGCCTGACCAAAAGACCCGGTGAGGGGTTGGAGGTTTGTGCTTGAGAATCCGCCCCACTGGTTGGCTGGTGACATCTTGGCCTGGTTTGTTCTGTTATGGAATCTGTTGAAGGAGCAGGTGGTTGTGGATGCTCTACTGTAATCCAGAATGGTTCAAAGTACTCCGGAGGAGGTTCATCTAGAAGTAGTAATGGACAGACTGGATTTCGGCCAGCTGGTGTTGAAACGGAGGAGAAATATGACAAGGCGTCCGTGTGAGCTTCAGGGAAGGAGGTGGAGAACGATGGCTGAGAAGGTAGAGGCAGAGACTCGTAGGGTGGAGGTTCAGCTTGGTAGGGTGGAGGTGCAAAATCTCTTTCTAAGGCCTCTTCCATTTTGACCAGCTGGTGTTGAAAAGGCAGAGAAATATGACAAGGAGTCCATGTGAGCTTCGTAGGAGAAATTGGAGAACGAAGGTTGAGAAGGAAGAGGCAGAGACTCGTAGGGTGGAGGTTTTATATCTCTTCTTAAGACTTCTTCCATCTGTACCGGTAATTAGAATTCAGTTGCTGATGGCTGCGAATCTTCTCCCTGGTTTCCCGTGCAGGATACGCTTTGACTCCTTGAACCTTCCGACTTTACTCCTGTATTCTGTCTATAAAGTCTTAACTATTAAGAAAGATTTGGTATGCAGATTGAATACCTTCTCTTTGCTGGAAGAAATGCCGATAATTGGTCAGCTCTGGGAAAACCTGTCAAACCGGACTTCGGAGGAGAAAATAATATTTCTATGTCATGTCAATGTCTCTGGTCCCTTAAGGTTCAAGTAGCACCTAAAGTATATTTTCACTTTTGCAGTCAAATTGGGATAAAACCTTCTTTAAATATGTTACGTCAACTTTTTTCAACCTTTTTTCGGTCACATCACCCTTTGGGTGGAAATTTTGAGGCACCCCAATTTAAACCAAAAAACCTTCATGTTACTTATCTATGAGAATCCTGAGTCTGGGACAAAGTATACAACCACCTTGATGAAAATAAACTTCACATCAGAAGCCCCTCCTTGCATGGGGAGTTCCACCATTACATCAGAGCTCTTCCTTCACATTAGAATTCCCTCTTTATGTTAGAGGTCCTCATTACATCAGAGGTCCTCTATCACATCAGAGGTCCTACCATCATGTCAGAGTTCTCCTTCACATTAGAAGTCCTCATCACATCAGAGGTCCTTTCATCATATCAGAGTTCTCCTTCACTTTATAGTTCCCTCTTTATGTTAGAGGCCCTCATCACATCAGAGGTCCTACCATCATATCAGAGTTCTCCTTCACGTTAGAGTTCCCTCTTCATGTTAGACCCCCTCATCACATCAGAGATCCTCATCACATCAGAGGTCCTACCGTCATGTCAGAGTTCCCCTTCACATTAGAGTTCCCTCTTCATGTTAGAGGCCCTCATCACATCAGAGGTCCTACCATTATGTCAGAGTTCCTCTTCACATTAGAGTTCCCTCTTCATGTTAGAGGCCCTCATCACATCAGAGGTCCTCATCACATCAGAGGTCCTACCGTCATGTCAGAGTTCCCCTTCACATTAGAGTTCCCTCTTCATGTTAGAGGCCCTCATCACATCAGAGGTCCTCATCACATCAGAGGTCCTACCGTCATGTCAGAGTTCCCCTTCACATTAGAGTTCCCTCTTCATGTTAGAGGCCCTCATCACATCAGAGGTCCTACCATTATGTCAGAGTTCCTCTTCACATTAGAGTTCCCTCTTCATGTTAGAGGTCCTCATCACATCAGGAGGTCCTTCCGTCATATCAGAGTTCTCCTTCACATTAGCGTTCCTTCTTCATGTTAGAGGCCCTCATTACATCAGAGGTCCTCATCACATCAGAGGTCCTACTGTCATACCAGAGTTCTCCTTCACATCAGAGTTCCCTCTTCATGTTAGAGGCTCTCATCACATCAGAGGTCCTTCCGTCATATCAGAGTTCTCCTTCACATTAGAGTTCTCTCTTCATGTTAGAGGCCCTTATCACATCAGAGGTCCTTCCGTCATATAATAGTTCTCCTTCACATTAGAGTTCCCTCTTCATGTTAGAGGCCCTCATCACATCAAAAGTCCTCATCACATCAGAGGTCCGACCGTCATATCAGAGTTCTCCTTCACATTAGAGTTCCCTCTTCATGTTAGAGGCTGTCAGGGTCCTGTCACGACAAGAATTCTGGGAGATCTGACATTTCAGCCAATACTCTACATGGCCACCAAAGTACACATCAGCCTCATTCTGGTGCCAGATGGCCTTTATAAGGAGGCTCACCACTTGCTCTGGTTGCTGGATGATCTCTAGCTCCCCATGCCTTGTTCCTGTTACCTGTGACTTCCTGATATTAACTCGGCTTGCACTTGGACCTGTCTGCTCTACTGAGTCCCTGATCTGACCTCGGCTTGGCTAAAGGATACTCTCTCTCTCTTGCTTCTCCGTGTTTGACCTCGGCTATCCCATCTGACTACGTCTGCTCTGATTCCCACCTGGTACCTGACCTCGGCTTGAACCGGTTATCCAGTAAATCTCTGATCCCGGAAGGGCTTACATACCACACACAGGGCCGCAGTCTGCAGACCTATCTCCGTGCACCAGCTGTGCTCCTGAGTGGACCACCAACCAGCACTCCTACAGGCGACCTGTGCAACTTCGGGCCTGACTCCCGCTGTCCCACTCTCAGGGGAGTCTGGAACTTAGCCGCAAGTGAAGCCCTCTCTCCATTGGCCTCCATCACCAGGTACGTGATAGAGGCCCTCATCACATCAGAGGTCCTACCGTCATATTATAGTTCTCCTTCACATTACAGTTCCCTCTTCATGTTAGAGGCCCTCATCACATCAGAGGTCCTCATCACATCAGAGGTCCTCATCACATCAGAGGTCCTCATCACATCAGTGGTTCATATAGTGAACTCGGTGTAGAGTTATTCCCTCTGAGGTCATCACAGAGGACAAGGGGGCGCTCTTTACATCGGGAGGAAAAGAAATGTAATCTCCAAACACGGAAAGGTTTCTTCACAGTGAGAGCTGTGAGAATGTGGAATAGACTCCCTCAAGAGTTGGGTGTGGCCAGCTCAGTGGATTGCTGTAGGAAAGTCCTGGATTGTTTCTTGGATACACAGAATATAACTGGATATAACATTTATAGGGAAAGTTGATCCAGGGAATATCCGATTGCCTCTCGGGGGATCAGGGAGAAATTTTTTTCCCTGCAGGAGAAAATTGGATCGTGCTTTGCTGGGTTTTTTTTTGCCTTCCTCTGGATCAACTGTGGGTGTAGGATTATAACTTTTTTTAATGGTTGAACTGGATGGACTTTTGTCTTTTTTCAGCCAGACTAACTATGTAACATCAGAGGTCCTACTGTCATATTAGAGTTCTCCTTCACATTAGAGACCCTATTCATGTCCCTGGCACTGGCTTTGGTGCCAAATGGCCTATTTAGGATGGATTGTGGCTTTACCTGTGTCCTGATCTTCTATATTTGCCTTTCCATGTATAACCCGGCTTGCCTCTGAAAGGTCTCGGGACTCCTACCTACCTGTTGTGACCTTGGCTCATATCCTAACTCCACTGCTGCCTTAAGTTCCTTTACTTGGCTACCTGTCCGTGAACTGATCCTGAATCTGCTTTTGCCTGATGTTCTTGTATCTTGCTGCCCGCTGTTGGTGACCTTTTTGGCTTTTGTGCTTTCTTCGCTCCTCTCTCTGCTCATCAAGTCTCATTGCGTACTGGCCTCTGGTCCCTGTCCAGTGATCCATGGCCATCCCGGATCCTGTAACCAACAGCTGGTGCTGCCTGCTACACCAGCTTTCGTGCCCCTCCAGGTCCTCACACCTCCTCTCACCACTTTCAAGTGTGTTGGACAAGAGGTACAAGA